AAACTGTATAAATGAGAGTTCCTCCGACTTACCAAAGCAGACTGTCCTACCTGAGAGTATAACTCACAGTGGTGAGTCTGAAATTTACAGTTAGTGATGAACCTCAGAGAAGCACGATACACAGAATCAACCATTCGAAGACATTGAGCAGAAGCATTCATGTATAGAATATCACCATATGGTAAAACTTAGGTAAGGCAGTGGGATGGCAAGCTGCACAGGCCTGGTGTTTAAATCCAGGTTAGCTGGGGCCTTTCTGTTTGGAGTTTGTCTGCATGAGTTCCAGATACATGCATGGGGTTAGGTTAACTGGTTGTCCTAAACTGGCCATAGATGTGAATGTTTGTCTCTCTGGGTTAGTCCAGCAATAGATTGGCAACCTGACGGGAGAGGTTGGTCTGTTTGAACAGCTAATAGCAGACGTGCAGACAAACACAGCTTTTAGAGTTTTTGTTAATTTAGCTCTTTTTTTTAAATCTATTTTTATCACAATATGTATTTTATTTATCACATTATAGGATATAAAGGGTTCAGAACAGTTTCATAATAAAACAGTACAAACACAATCACAGACACATTCTCTGCAGTCTCTTTACACCAAAGCTTCCCCAGGCCGGATCTATTGGCAAATTAAACCAAATAAACACAGATCAAAATAAAGACTTTAGTTAGTTTTGTAAGCACATAATATTCTTTCAATGTTCATTCATTTCTTGTTTATAGATCCCAAACAGCCAACACATTCTTTTCCCATGTCAAATGCAGGTCATCCTCATTGCTGGGCTGTAGCATGATGAATATTTATTAAAGCAGCAGGTGTGCTTCAGTTATGCACAAGGTGTCCTTTGGCGTTTGTCATTCCTCAGTGTAAAGGGTCACATTGTATCCAGAGTCACAAGCCCAAACCGAGTAGCTTTTAGTGCAGGCGGCTGAAAACAAAACAGCAAGTGGGATGAAAGGCTGCAGAAGGTCCCACAAACAGGACGCAAACTTCAGTCTCCTGGCTGATAAACATGCAACGCAGGCATCAGGAGGTCGGGGAGATTAGTCAGCCAGGAGAGTGGGCTGAGCGACAAATGTACTTGGATAGCTTTAGAAATACATTAGGCTTTCACAGCATTAACTATGCTTACTTTAAGCTTTACAAGCCTTCACACTGGACAGAACGAGGCTGACTGACTTATTTCACTGACCAAAGAACAGCTTGCACATGATATGATAATGAAACATTTTCACATTATAAAAAAACATATCTGTTCATGTCATGTTTTGACTAACTCAGATCTTTTTGGTGAATTATAAATTCTGTTTAGTAGAAAGGCAGCAAGAGAAACACTGAGCGCTGCATAAAAATGACAAAACTGAGTTTCAGGGCTTTACACGAGGTAGTATTTCAACTGCCTCCTGGGGCCCAGCATCGATGCGTTCACCCACTGTACAAACCTCAAATCCACAGCTCAAACCTATAAATTCACAGTGTAAACACAGCATCCCCCACTTTCTCAACAAAGGGTTTTATTAATCATCAAACTCTGCAAAAGGAGGAAACCAGAGGCTCTCCTTCCTCTGCGATTTGCTTTGAGCTGCTTTTCTTTCCTGTCGCTGTAGGACGTTTTTTATCCAGCAGATCTGAACAGCAGCCAAAGCTATCATGCAGACCTGCTCAAGGAAACACACCAAAGATCAGAAACTGCTGTCAGTGACTTCAGAGGTTTTTTTTGCAGCCAAACGCTCACTAGTGTTACCTCGAGCAGCAGCAGGCCGGCGGTCAGACCAGCCACCAGAAGCAGATTGTGTTTGGCCCACCAGACAATTTTATCCAGGCAGCCGATGGTGAATATGTCTTGACGGGCCAGTTTCTCCTCCAGCTGCTGCATCCCATAACCACACATGGTGTTCAGTACAGTCTGCAAAAGAAAGAAGCTGCTTATATGGTAACACAAAAAGGGCTTTGATGCACTGAACACCAGCATGGACAAGAAGTTAATTTGTGCATGGATTCAACGTTCACCTGTATCAACAGTTTCAGCTCATCTTGTTTCATCCTGCCCATCAAACAGGGCGTGAGCTGAACTGGAAACAGCCAGCGCTGCCTCCCAGTCTCCGAGTAGATACACCTACGGTATAATTTTACAATTTTGTCCTCGAGTAATCGTATTCACAAGATTTTCAGAAAACTTGACCTCTGACCGTCAAATTTTCTGAAAATCTCATTTAAATTTGATACCATAGGTGTGTCTAAGAATGCCTCCAGTGCTAGCTCTCAGCAAGGACGCTACCTAAAAGGTGTACCTTAAAGGATCTGCAGCTACTGAAAAGAGTAAGCATAAAGGGAGGAACGACTTTAGGTGGCAAATAATTTCAAATCCCACAAACACAGTGGCTGTCGTTCTCATGGCCAGTGTTGAGTCACGTCGAGTGTAGCAGAGATTCATTTGCATTTAAGCTGATGACGCTTAGATTAATTCACTGTTATACCAACTGTATATGATTTAGTGCAGCGGTCCCCAACCCCCGGGCCACGGACCGGTACCAGGCCCGGGGGTCGAGGCTCGGGTGTGAAATTTATGGTTTTCAGGGTTTTTATCGTTAACTCGGTTTCCCTGGGTCTTTCTCGTGTTGCAGTCGTGTCTTATTTTGAAAGAAATATTTACGTGTTACCATAGCGACCAGAGTGCATTAAGAGGCAGAGAGGAGGATGTTACTCTCAATGTTGTTGGTGCGTTTCAGGAGGACGCTGCTAATAAAGTTACACATTGAATTAATATTTATTCTTATATTTACAAAACCACAGTTTTTGTCTCGGTCGCATCATTTTATTTTGTTGTATTTATCCGCGACACCTTAAAGGCCGTGAAAATATTTTCTGACCTTAAACCGTTTACGCTGATTTAGTGTAAAGACAAAATACAGCATACTGTTAGTGAAGGAAAGGGAAATCAGCTCATGAAACATCTGCTTACATCCTGTTAAATTCAATTAGAAATCCACAAAGACCAGCAGGTCAGCTGATCACAGCCTGAACACAAAGAAAATCTGAGTTCACATTAGAAATGATTGTTAGCTGCGACTCTTTTCCCCACGTGGAGCCACTACAGCCGCGCCCCGCTGTTTAGATGAAGAGGAAAACTTACCATTTACAACGACGCCATTATTGAGGCAACTGAAGAAGTCACTCTTGTGTCCTACATAACCGAATTTAGATTTGAACATTTGTCTTATCATGTATAATATTATTTTATTATTCTTATATTAATACAGCGCAGGGTTCAGTTGCTTTTGCATAAACATCCATGCTAGAACTGTCCTTAGGAGCTACTTTTTACTTTCTTGCTTTGAGAACATTTCAGAGCTTTTTCACCTTTACTTGAGTAAAGAAGGAGATTCAGTACTTCAGCTTTTACTAGAGT